TTACCACTGGAACCAAAAGCCTGGAGGAAACACAAATGTTCTCTGATTTGGTTAAGTACATCTTACACAAACAATTCCAATCTTATTGAGGTGTGAGGGCTGCTGAAAATTTTAATAGAGTGTCTCCTGCTATGCTCAGTGGGCACTGAAGTGAGCCATAAATCAAAAGTTTCATGGAAGTCTCAGGCTTTTCAACCTATTAAAATACCCCCAGTTCTTTGCATAGAAACAGTGTCTTCACACTATCATTTCCTTGTAAAAGTCCAACAATGTACAGTTTTGTACACATTTATTTTGCCTGTGCAAGGAATGACGTGCTAATATAGTGTTCTACCATTTAGCTATGGTTGTATTCCCAACAGCAGGATCTTGAACATTGACATAAATGTTCTTTTTCAAAAAATAATTTTTATTATTTTATCATAGTTAATACATTTGTTATACATTTGTTTTACAGTAGATACATATTATTCAATACAACCTAACATACTTTGGCATACTTTGGCATCTAGTATTATTATCCTGCTTAAACATATTTTCTATTCTATAACTGTTCTAAGGCTGTGGTTCTCAACCTGTGGGTCCCCAGGTGTTTTGGCCTACAACTCTCAGAAATCCCAGCCAGTTTACCAGCTGTTGGGATTTTTAGGAGTTGAAAGCTATAACATCTGGTTGGGAACCACTGTTCTAAGGGAAGTGCCGGGGTGGGGTGGGGGGTTGGGGGAGTTCATGGGTCCCTGCACAAGTATATCTTTGATTCCACTTGAACTGCTATGGCATGGAATAATTGGGAAGGGCATTCATTTACAAAATGTCCATCATTATATGTATATTTTCACTTTTTTCTACAAATCCGCCATTTGTGGTAGAACATTCCTTCTTTTTGCTTACATTTCTAATGTATAGTTGATCATGCCTTTTACATTGTTGACAACCTTCAGGAGGAAAGTACCATCTGTATATAGTTTTGTAAAAATTCCCTCATAAGATGGAATGCCACCAAAATTGCAGAGGTAAAGAAACAAACATCATTTGGTTTCGATTTCTGTAGGTTCAAAATTCAGGTCCTCTCTTCTGTGTCCATATTTAGCTGAAACAGTGCCTCAGTTGTGGAAAATAGCTACATAACTTGCCCCCACATTTGTGGGTTTAACATCTGCATATTTGTTTATTCCAGATTTGATTACTATTTTCTCTTTAGGAATCTTTGGGTCCTTGATTATGAGTCTGGTCAATCTCTGATAGAAGTTGACCCTATAGTCATGTTGGAGGACCTAGACATTCCTAGAAAGAGCATTTCTCTCATAATCTGTAGGTCCTCATGGTTAATTCTATGGTCAGCATTTGATGGGTGTTGATAATAGAGACACAATGGAGAGTAAAACTACACAATGTTTTTATTCCACCACCACCACCACCACCACCCCCCCCCCCCCCCCCACACACACACACACACATACTTTTGCTGCAAAAGTGGAGGACCTGCTGTACTATTTTTCTATGAAGAAACCTGGAAGCAATTTTATATTGTGAACTACAATAAAAAGTCAATAAAAGCCAAGTTGAGCATTGGACTTTTTACTGTAATACATGACAGTATTATCTTGTTATGCCACGGGGCACTTTGCCTCTGCTCCAAGTCCTCTACATTAAAAGAGAGAGGAAAAAGCTTCATCCCCAGCCTCTGGGAGTAAAGTGTTTCCACTTCTCTTCAAGCCATATATACACACAAATACATTGCAGCCTTCTCCGTTGGTTAATAACTTGTGCTTCTCCTACAATCAACTTCACAGTTGACCCTGCCAACAGATTCCCTGCAGAAAACATAAGAGGACATTGGGTAATAACACTGGACTATTTTGCAGGCTTTCATATTGTATATCATTCTAACTACTGATAGAACAATTGCTATAAGACTAGCAGGTAATTTTGCAAGGTTGGCATAATCCAGTCTACCCAGTGATAGGCTTTATCTGAAAGAATCTACACAGTAGCTTTATATTCATTTTACACACTGAAAATAAATCAATGTTTGGTTTTGGTTTTTAAAAATATCTGAGTTAAAAAGATCATGAATTTCTGACTTTAGTTTTGGGGATAGGCACACTTTTGGTCAATCCCAGATGCACTAAAATCCTAGATTCCTTAATTTTATTGATGTAGCAGCAGTCATTTCTCTCTATAGGAGGACACCAAGAACAAACTATAAAACGAACCAAGATGCCTCAGCTCCATAAAGGAGTTGTATATCTCATTGTTGCAATTTCAAGAATTGGCTAAAACATCAAAATCAGGAACAAAATAAGGAGTGCAGAATGCTGGCCAGCAACAAAGAAACATTAACAAGCCCCTAACACAATGGAAATGAAAATGCTGAGATGGACACATGGTTTGACACTTCTTGACCATGTGCCAAATGAAGACATATATCAATGACTAGGAATAAAAGCAGTCAGCAAAAAAAAATGCAGGAAGCAAGACTACGGTGATATGGCCATGTCACGAGAAGAGAACCAATATCACTAGCACAAACAGCACTGCATTTGAAGATTGCAGGACAACGGCCAGGTGGACTGCCAAAGAAAGAAAAGATGGACACCATCCATGAAGACATCCAACCTGAGGATGCCTAAAACAAAGCCCTGTGGAAATGATAGTCACAATACTAACCCTCCATTGGAAAAATAGCTTAGAAAGAAGAAGAAGATCAAAATCAGGAAAAATCTACTTGCAAAACACATAGACAGAATGGCAGCTGCCTGTTTTGCCTTATGTCTTGGATTCTGTAAAGGGATTCTGTACAGGCTTGGTTTTTAAAAAAACAGATTAGATAGAAATGGGAAATTTGAAAATTACAGTTATCTGTAAAGTAAAAGGAGTGGTCTCTCGTGTCTATCAATGAACGCCCCTTAGGAAGACCGAAGTCAGCATACAAGAGCTTTGAAATTGTGGTGATCTACAAATCCTCAATCTCAGGTTATTTAGTATTCCTGGAATATGAGTCGGTCTGGGTTTCAGCTGACTCCCAAAAGAAAAGGTGCTCAGTGTATCGAAAGCAAGATATTTCCAACAAGAGTCTGAGGAAGAGGGCTGTTGTTGGGTCAAAAGGTTAGGTTTTATTTGGCAGAGAATTAGCTATGCTTTTGCTAGGCTTCCAGAGTATTCAATAAAGTTCATCAATAGGCTTCTCCTTACAGACAATTGAAACTGGAAATAATTATGATTTTTCCTTATTTCTCTAAAATATAGTATGTCAACAGTTGGATTTATTGTACAAGTTAAGAATCTTTTATCAGGAAATACAAATCGAGAATATTACACAATCCAAAATTGTGGTTGAAATAGTTCATTGTACACAAACTTTTTTCAGGCAACAAATTATTTAAAATGTTGTCTATAAAAGACTACTGTATGTTCTATCTACATGATATCTTATTATGCATATGGAAATATTTCAAAATCTGAAATGGGGAACACTTCTGGTCCCAAGCATTTTGGACAAAGGAATTTCTATAGCCATTAAAAGAACATAACGGTTGCTATCTTCCACCTATCTGTAAATATCGCTTGCTGAACTTAAGCTGATTTTGTTTGCCTAAATGAACATAGGCTTATACTCCATATTATGCTAGCTCAGCTGTATATGGGTTTAGGGAAAGACAAATGTAGCTTAGTGATAAAGCACATGTTTGGCATGAAAAAGTCTCTAGGTTCAATTCCTGGCATCTCCAAATAGGTCTGGAAAAGATTTCTTTCTGAAACCCAAGAGAACCACTATAATCAGGAAGATATTGGCTCAATAAATCAATAGTCTGTGTCAGTATAAAGCAGCTGATGTGAATTTGGTTTTTAGCATTTCTTAACCACTATCATTGTTTCAGTAAATTCTTTGCTCATTGCAAATAATCTTATGTTTAATGTTTTATATATTAGCATTTTTTTAGAATTGACATTTAGACTGTGGGAGACTAGCAAAAACCCAAAATTTACTTTTCTGCATAGTTTTGATAGCAGTGGTAGCAGTATTATATATTATTATAGAATATGCTCTAATCTTGTGAGCATAAGAGATTACTAGAGTAAAATATGTTGAAGCAATGGAAGAACTGCTTAGAGGCAAACCAAGAAAATATGTCAACAACGTGAAGCATAATGATGTTAAGAGGCTCATCACTCTAGAGAAAAAATCCACTTAAAATCCAGTTTCTGTCTCCTGCAGAATTCTAGGGTTTGTAGTTTAGGGAGGAGCTTTTAACAGCCTCACTAAACTGCAAACCCCAGAATTCTGCAGGATTTGTTTTCTGTAGCATGATGAAGTGGTAAGTGGTCAGGCATGGCTATAATTTAGATCTGTCTCAATGTTAGAATCCAAAACCTTAAGTGAAGTAATAGACTTCTCTGGAGAGAGTCAGGTGTGGTATCCCTAATATAAAATGGTAAACACCTCAAATGAGTGCTGGAGGAGTATGAGGATCTGCCAAATAGTGGGAGGCTATGGCAAGGTATCCATGTAGTGTTCAGTGCAGAGCAAAATCAAAGTTTGCTTTTTGGATTTTTTTCTGATTTTTTATTTGAGTCATCATTGGTTGAATCTGTGAATGCAGAACACATGCCGGCTGACTACATATCCTACTGATTCATGGTAAATAAAGTTCATCAATGAGGCTTGTAAGTAGGGGTGAATGAGTGAATGAATGAGAGTGGAAATAATAAAGAATCAATGTTTTAGAAGAGCTTATCAATTTATGCTAAAAATAAGTACTTGTTTATATTTTATGGCCATCTGTTAGGGGTACTTTGTGGGTTTTTGGGTGTTTTTTTTTTTGTTTGGTTGGTTTTGTTTTGTTTGGTTTTTTTGCATGGCTGGGGGTTGAACTGGATGGCTGATGTGGTCTCTTCCAACTCTATGAGTCTATGATTCTTTTTTTTTTAAAAAAAAACAAACACATTATTTGTTATGATAGTTTTAAACTAAGATGTAGAATTGTGTCTCCCAATAGTGATCCTCTGGAGCCTGCTCAGTATACTGCTGCCACAGTAAAAAGCATGCCTGAAACCCCAGAAAACGATGTGAACAGGACAGTGCTTGCAAGTACAGCATCAGTACCAGCCTTGAAGCCAGCAGAACCCCAGTATGCTGTCAAAACATCAGGATGGCAGTCTTCTAATCAGCCAGGTAAATTTTTCAACTCTTCGTTTTATTTACTTGTTAAGGAGCGCCAAATTTTTTATATGAAAAAGTAAAATGATATAAACTATTTGTAAAGTTCATGTTTATGTTGGTTGCCTTAATTTGTTTTTTTATTTCAGAAAAATATGGAAATAAATGAAGTAATATTTTAAATAGCAGGATAAATAAATATGCATGACATAGCCATAAGAATGGACCAAGAGCTTGGATCTGATGCTTGGCTATGGGACCAAGCCATTGGGCAGTAAGCAGTGCATGGAATTATCAGGGATTATGTGCAATAGATCTGATATTTGGAACAGCCGGGACTACAATTGTTGGAGTGTGCGATTTAATGTTTTTAATTCCACGTGTTGATGTTAAATGATGTCGTGTTTTATGATTTAATTGATAATTGTATGTTATTATCGTTATGTTAAGTTTCTGAATGTGAGGCATAACATTTTGCCATAATTATGTTGGAAACCGCTTTGAGTTTCCAACACAATTATGGCAAAATGCGGTACACAAGTGAAGTAAATAAAACAAATAAGAATGGAGCAAGAGATTGGTCCTGATGCCCCATAGAGCCCTTCCAATTCTGTACTTCCATTACTCTGCTAATCAATAAAAACCTGTCATATTATGTTCTGCAGGAAGTAAAACCACATTCATAATATATTGATTTAAAAATAATGGAGAAATGCTCTCAAATGTGCAATTTTATTTTTTTATTCTTAAGGTCCTTTGATTATGTAGATCCAGCATAAATAAAAACTAACAATTTCAAAAGCCAGCATTTAAACTCCAGACAAAAATTATTATTATTAAATATTTCAATTTTGTTGTATTTCAATCTTAAAGAAGTGAATCAATCTTCAAGTTTAAATTGGTTTGAAATAACTTTTTAAACCAAATTTTATCACAAACATCTTAACTGAACCTATACATAATAAAAATAAAAATCACAAAATTAATGGTTCTTGGATGTTGACACTAAGATACCTAGAATCAAAATGCAAAAAGCAGGAAAACTCACAGATCTGTTTCAGTTTATGAATATAAATGGCAGTGTGGAAGATGAGGTGCCATATATACCACTTTGAATCCCCAGATGGAAGATAGCCAAATATGATAGAACAAGTGGATATAAATACATGTGAATACCATACGCAAGAGAAAATGATCCAGGTGATTGTTTCTGCATTCTGGAATATGTATAATCCATTTACCTGATCTGTGTGTGCATATTGGCCCTTAATCTATTGAAAGTTTTGATTCTCTCTCTCCTGCAATTGTAAAGTGTTAATGTTTCCTTCGTCTGGGCCCTGCTGGCAAATTTTAAGCTTTCCATAAACACATAATCCAGATTTCAGCTGCTTTAAAGCAGATACTGCACAGCGCTTTAATTTTGTTTCTTCACAGAGCTATAGATCTTTTGTACTGTAATCCTTTATATCTGTATTGTTCATAAATACACTTGCAGCTCTGCTTCCTTTGGAAGCATTTTCAGTTTCAAAAGTTGTTGATCAAAAAGCATAGACTTTCTATAGCCATTTTCTGCCATAAAAAGTTTTCCATATGTTCAAGCCATCAAATATATCACATGACCATCCTTGTTGTAAAAATGGTCAGCACTGATGATGTGCAAATTGAATTTGTCCAAAGCTCACTGAACATATAAAAAGGCAAACACACACACTTTTCTTTTAAATAGGATAATTGCAACTCCAAATAAATATTCAAATAGTCATAAATATGGATGCTCTCAAGACCAACTTCCACAAATCCGAATTGTTCACTTCCATCTGGATACAGAACTTCTCTGATCCAGTTCGTTGGGGGAAAGAAAGCTCAATCAAAGAGAATTTCTCTCAGAGTAGGGACAGCTCTCATTTCAAAATAACTAATGTATTTCTGTAGGTCTGTCTCATATGTATGTGTGTGAGAGAGATAGACAATCCTATATATTGTCCAAGAAAAAATCCATAGAAACATAAGGCCACATTAGAATAGTCTGTTGAGATGTTTCTGTAGGGTTTCTTTCCTTCAGGCTGAAGCTAGTGACTACCAGAGTTGGTCTTCTTGGTTGCAAGATTCAACTGGCAAAGAGTCCCACACACCAAACCATAACTGCCAAGGGAGTGTCCCCAAGTGGAGCATTTCCATGTGTTGGGAGTGCTTTGATTGATTCCTGCATGTTTGGATGAACCTTGGGGTCTCTTCCAACTCTACGCATCTATAGTGGCTTCAATCCTTAATCCTTCACATGCGCTAGAGAGGTAGGCAGAGTTTTTCCACTAAAATGATGTACAATAGGGATGGAAACATATGCCAGTAGTGGTCATGCTCAAAAGCATGCATTCGTAGATCCTTGTACGAATGGTTAGGGCTGGTATTCTGCTTTAACGGAGCCAGCCAAAGTTTGCTTTAGGCAGGATATTAGATATGAAACCTCACATGTGCATACTGCTCTGCTGGCCACTGGTTGCCTTCACCTGGCCACAGCCATTCATCTCTGAAAATTAGCCAGCAGGGCTCTCCAGAGTGGCTATGGCACAAGTTAGAAATGACTTGAAAGTACAAAATGACACAACAACAAACACATTTATTCAAGAACAAGCCTCTTCACTCCAGTGTATAAACTTCCTAGTAAATTGTTACAATCTAAATAATGTAGAAATAGTGTGTGTCATTGAATTATCATGTCTTAAAATATTCGTTTAAATGATGATGTTGAGAGAAGAGAAAGAGGAAGAAAACATTCTGAGTGACGTCTTTTTGTGGGAGCACTTAAGGTGCATTTCATTTAGAATGCTTCAGACATTTTATTGTCATTCCACACAGAGAGACATACATAAAGCTTATCACACCTCGATTGATAGTGAATGTCACCCAGATCTCTGTGTTCTGTTAACAATTAGGCTGAAGATGCGGCAGAGAATCTGCATCTCTGAATAACATGCTTGACAAGTTGGTGGGAAAAAATCTTGATCATCACAAAACAACAGCTGGAACATATGGTGCTGTTGGAATACATTTTTAATTATGTGGCTTTTGGAGTTACCTTGTAACTGTTTAATAAAACAAATACTGCATCTCTTTGGGCTTTCGAAGTGTGGAACTTTAAAGTGTCCTCAAGGTGGCGATAGATCACCACATCTGTTCCCTATTGCATTGGCTTCCATTTTTTAATTGTTACAGAATGTATGGTGCGGTTAAGATGATTTCATAAATCACTGCTTATATTTTGGGTTCGCTATGGTGTTTTTGATATGCTACATTTAACACAAGTTCCCCTTCAAATTTAAACTTAAATATATTCTGTAGGATGTAGGAAAGTGTGTTGATTAAAAATTGATATGCAGTCCTTCAAAAGGGTCTAATGCCAGTTTGCATTCCATGAGATTATTTTCAGAATACGTACTTTGTACTTCTGAGACTGCCAGTATCACAAGTGTTTTACAACATAAATGGCAACAGTGCCAGTGTCAGGATAAGCCAGAACTTTGTAAAACTATAGTTTATTGTGGAATAAGCAAACATGTTAGTACACTCTGTTATTTCACTCTCAGTAGGTCCAGAGAAAGAAGCCACGTATTCTCCTCCCATGTCAAGATACCATTGTATTGGGATTTATTTATTATTTATTTATATTTCCCGTATTTGTACCCCATCCTTTTCACCCTGAAGGGGACTCAGGACAGTCTCACAACCAGTAGCAATTCAATTCCCAACAAACACATGCCAAAAATAACAATTACAATTAAAACAGCAATAAAACATAATTTATTAAAACAGCAATTAAAATCACACAAATTCAAAAATCGTAATCCAGAATCAGTCCATTAGTTGGTCGCTCTCCATTATTGCACTGCTATAGTTTCTGCTCGAATGCTTGGTCCCATAACCATGTCTTAAGTTTTTTCCCCCCTGAAAGACAAGGTAGAGGGAGCTGTTCTGATTTCATTGGAGAGGGAGTTCCACAGACAAGGGGCTACCACTGAGAAGGCCCTATTTCTCGTCCCCACAAGTCACACTTGTCTGGCTTCTTCTTCTCCCAACAAGGTAGCAGCATAGACCAGTATGAAACAGCATTCTCAGTATTCTGAATTATACCTGTTATACGCATACGATATTATGGGTTGTCATGACATTCATAGGTTATGTGGTATGAGTAAGGTCTTGTATGGAAGGGTTTTTATGGAGGTCATGCCACTGGGAGTTAGCAAAATTGAATGACATTTTGTGGGATCAACCAACTACACTACAAGACCTGGGCTAAGAAACTAGCATGAAGGATTATTGTTTTCACTGTTTTTTCATGGCTTTTTATCTGATTACCCAGCTTTTTTGTTTTGTTTTGTCCCCTGATGATCAAACATATAATGTCAGGATAGGTGGGGAATATTAGATTGCTGTGGCAAGATATCAAAAAAAGATAGAGAAGGTTAAAGAAAAGATAAAGAAAAGGCTGGTGTCAGCATTAGTGGAGAAAGATCATTTCGACAAAAACACTCTGAGTTGCTTGAAAGTGGGAGACGATTGACATGAAGGAATAGATCATGTTTCTAATCATTTTTCCCTGAAATTTTGTGGGACACTTTCAATTGCGTAAATGCAATAACAAGATTTTTTAATATTAATAGGTATTCATGTTGAGACAAATGTCCATAAAATGCAGAGAAATGTGTTGGTTTTTTAAAAAAATGTCTGCGGTATATTTGGCTCATCATATCTCCATTCACAAGTTTGTTTTTCAATACATATTCAAGTTTTCGTGATGAATGAGGAATGAAAACAGTAACATAATGATAGTTGAGCACACCTGGAAAGATTGTAATTGTGTATCCAAAGATGGAAGTCCTGAAATGTTATGGAAATTTGAGTTAGTTTCTCTTGCAGCTGCATCTACTGTGTTAAAATATTAAAATGTTTTTGTGAAGATTACTGTTGAAAAATATAAATAGCTTATTCTTCCTTTAGAAAATAGTAACTTCTAGTTG